CTTGTGTATTATCAAAATTTCATCAGCTTGGGGCAAGTAGATGACATAGCAGTTACATCACTAGACTCCCACATGGTCAACTGTGGTTTGAGTCACAGATCCAGTGGCTTGAAACTCACACCAGGCACATGTGCATTCATGCCCAAGACCCTGAGAGGAGAATGGAGGAGAAGAGATTGCAGCGTGTCCATCCGTTCTGAGGAGTGATTTCTCACCTTCCCTCTCACTGTCTCTCTCTCTCTCTCCAGCAAGCGCATGTGCCCCAAGGCAAAAACCTCTCAAAAGAAAAAAATTCATCACTTTAAAATAGATCATTATAAGATAATTTACGTACACCTCATAGTAACAGCAAAGCAAAAACTGCTAGTAGACACACAAAAGATAAAGAAATCAAAGGATACCAATATAAAAATCATCAAAGCACAAAGAAATATAGCAAGATATGAAGTAAATAACAAAGGATCTATACAATGGCCAGAAAATAATTAACAAAATAACAATATTATGTCTTTACCTGTAAGTAATACCTTGAATGTAAATTGATTAAATTCTCTCACATAGTTCCATTCTGGGATTTATTATTATTATTATTATTATTATTATTATTATTAAGAATCCTTGCACCCAGGGCTAGCAGATGGCATAGTGGTTAAGGCACTTGTCCATGTGGCTGGTTATGGTTTGAGTCCCAGACTGGTGGCTTGAAACTGACACCAGGCACTTGTGCATGCATGCCCAAAATCCCAAGAGAAGAATGAAGGAGAAAGGATTATAGCATGGCCATCCCCCCTGGGAGGTGATTTCTTGCTTTCTTTCTCTCTGTCTCTCTCTGGTACACATACCCTATAAGCAAAAATCTCTTAAAAAAAAAAAAAGAGAGAGAATCCTTACACCCAATACTCTGGCATTCTGAACTTAGAACTTTCAAACTAGATGTTATAAAGTCAAGAAAAATTGGCCCACTTCAAGGATACTGTTGGGGGTAAATTCAGCTTTTTATTGGGTCCTTTACATTTATTTTTCCAGCTGATACAATCCAAGGTGTTTAGCCAAGACTATTCCACCTACCAGACATCTGCAGACTGGCAAAGGCCACACATTCTCAAGTGGTAGAAGAGGTAACGAAAATAAAAGGGCATGCAAAACCTGATATTTTTCTGCATGCTTCTCTTACCATAGACACTTAAAAAAAAACAAAAACAAAAAAAAGTAATTACTGAAAGCTATCATAGCACGATTTGCTGAGTCACTCAATTAAGGCTGGCTTTTTCTTTTTTATAGACCTGTTTATTTCTGTAGTAATATTAATTTTTAATAGAGATGTTACTATTTGAATTCAAATGTTTTTGTTTATTTGTTTTGTCTTGTCCACTTATGTAGCCAAAGCTAAGGTTGTGCTGATTAGCAGTTAGCTGTATGTCAGACACAAGGAAATTGTAAGAGACGCAAAGTTTAAGGGAATTCTGAATTTTCACAAAGTCCCTCAGTTAAAGAAAGCAGGTACTGAAGATATTACAAAAGAGCTTTAAAATTTGAGATCAAGACACAGATTTCATTCTTGCTGCCCCATTTAGTAGCTATGTAATTTGCTTTGGTCACTTGATGTTGTTGCTCTCCAATTCCTTTATCTGGAAAATAAGGATGAAAATGCATGTCCTTTTATCCTTTAGGTCATTGCTGAGAGACAAAATGAGATCATGTCTGGGAAATACTTCTAAATTATCCATGACTTTTCTATAGAAGAATATAGCCAAATAAAAAGATGCACTCTTTCTCTGGAATTATGCCAGAGGCCTTAAAATTCTGAGATACCTAAAACATGAAATCAGCCTCTTCCCTTGTCTTCTTAAGTTTTCTGCAATTAACTCATAAAATCAGTGTTGTACTGAAAATAAAATCTGAATGGAGGAGTATCCACATTTAGAAGACCCTCAGAGGCCAGAGATTTTCTCTTTCACTGGCTCTATATAATATTCTCTTCTGGAAATCACTCTATTGTCTCACATCTTAAGACTATAGGGATTTGGTTTGGTTTTGCTTTGTATTTCTTTTGACTTTGATGTTACTTTCCCCTTCTCTCTGCTTGTGAATTATTCTCTCCTGTCCAAGTCACAGAGTTGCTAGTCACTCTCACATTTATTTACATGTAATGCACAGAGCCTTCTGAGTGCTATCATTTTATTAAACAGAACTTCTCTAAACTTAGTAACATGACAATGAGTCGACCATATAGGTGGAATTTTGTCAAAAGATTTAAATCAGAATAACACCAGAATTGACTTCAGCAATTATCTTCCCTACTGGTTTGAAATATTTTTTAGTATAACAAAACACCTTTTGCAAAATGAAATCTTGAATAGAACACCATGTGTAAAATAGATTTAATTAAAATTGCTATGTTTGCAAAAGGAGGTATATCCATATGTATATTACTCTGTCTCCTGTTTCTTTGCAGACACTGTTTTCACTGAAACATTTGAAAACCACTTTATATGGTTAATGCTATGTAAGTCTGCAGTGCTTCACTCCTTTCTATAATAACTACCAATGAGTTGTTCAGTCTTTCAACGTTTTCAATGATGCCTATTCTCCCAAGAAAAGCCATCATATTCTGAGACAGCATTAACTGCTTATTTATAGAGTTCATTATTATCTTTTGATGACTTCCTTGTCACTTCTGTTTGTCATTTCTAGAACCGAACTACACTGTGCTTTATTCTAGATGTATTTGAATGATCTTATTCCTCTAGAAACTTTTTTTAAACGAATTGAACATCTTGATTTTTTCAAATTTCTCACAATGTGAAAATATGTGGGCTTAATCCCTTTAATTCAGTTGCTTTCCTTTGGACTTGCTTCAGTGTGTCAATGTCAGTTTTTTGTTGTTTTTTTTTTTTCTTGCCTATTTTTTTTTTCTTTGAGAGGTTTTTCACTATCGGGCGCGTGCGCTCGCCAGACAGACAGAGAGACATAGAGACAGAAAGCAAGAAATCACCCCCCAGGGGGGATGGTCACGCCGCAATCCCTTCTCCTCCATTCTCCTCTCGGGATCTTGGGCACACACGCACACACGCCCGGCGTGAGTTTTAAGCCACCGGGTCCGGTACGTGAACCGCGGTCGACTACGTGGGAGTCCAGCGACATAGCCATTACGCTAACTGCTGGTTCCCTCAATGTCAGTTTTAACTTGAGTATGCAGAACTATAAAAGGTCATTCCTGGGACCAGCAGTTGGCATAATGGCTATGTCACTGGACTCCCATGTAGGTGACCACAGTTCAAGTCTCAGACCCGGTGGCTTAAACTCACACCAGGGCCGTGTGTGTGTGCCCAAGATCCAAGAGGAGAATAGAGGAGAAGGGATTACAGTGTGGCCAACCCCTCCCCCACCCCGGGGGTGATTTCTCACTGTCTGTCTCTGTCTCTCTCTGTCTTTCTGGCAAGCGCACATGCCCTATAGCAAAGACCTCTCAAAAAAAAAAAAAAAGGTAATTCCTATGCTGACTATAACCATCAACTTTCTCATCTTGCATATTCTACCTCTGTTAATGTGGCCTGTAACTGCATTGATTTGGAGGAAAACTTGAGGTGCTTAGTCAACTAAATCCCCAGTACTATTCTTGAATATGCTGCTGCAGAACCACAAGAACTTATGAAAATGTTTTTATGGTGTCATGTGCTCATTTTCCTTTGCTGTGGCCCATGAAGTTAGCCACATGATTTTGATACAAAGTTTTCAAGGTTCTTGCATTGACAGGACCTGGTTGGTGGGATTTGGTAAATCAATGTCTGCATTATTTGTTCGCTTTCTATTCTGTCAGTTACACAGACACCATTTTTTAAAATAATTTCCCATGGATCTTCATTGGTATAAATTTTATTGGGGAAAAAATGGTCATTGTGTAAGATCCAAACTATGCTAGCAATACTACTCATTTATAACTGATATAAAAACTTTTCTATGATAGAATTTCTGAGGTTTAAAGAGGGTTCATTAGAATCCTGAAAGGATACGAATGCTGCTGAATTGATTTGGTTACACTCCAGTGATTTCAAAAATCAACCCCCAAACCAGGGGTTTTATCTACTGTTAAAGAGATGAGTTTTTAAGAATCAGAATATCAGTCTGAATATTCCCTAGGAATTTTCTCAACATTGTGGGTTTCAGCCAGATACTTTGCCTTCCTTGAGCATATTTTCATGTGGTTTTATAATATTTATTCAACATTATTTTCCATTAGTTCTCTAATTTTAATTGTTGGTAACCAGTTCAGTGTGTAGCTATTACATGGTGCAGAACTGATTTATCCCCGTTAATGTTTGAGGAGACCATGACCCATTTTATTTGCTGCGTGGTCAGCCCTGGTATTCATGGCAGGTTTTCTAAATATTTCTAATGAAGTCTTTAAGCACATGTAATTCTGAAAACACATTCCCATTCAGTAAGACTTACACAGGACGGTAAGCCCAACATGGCAAAAGGTTTCTAAAAAATTCCATAAACATTAAGCATATTTATGTCATAGCATCAAGTTTGGTCAATTTGAAACTTACTGTATTGTAGTATAAGAGGCATTTTGTTTGCTTGTGTTTACTTTCCCAGGAGTAAATGCGTTTTGGTTAACCACAATGGCAAACTTAGTCAAGACATTTATGTCAACAAATCCTGCTGCTTAACAAAGTCACATTCTTAGTTTCTAGGACTGCAGACTGGATTCTAAGTAATAAGGTGTTTATAAGGCGTGCTGTAAATCTGGGACTATAAACATGTCTACTTTTCTGTTAAACTTGCTGCTGTGCATAAGGTACAATAAGCTCTCTTTTCAGTTTTATGGTGGCCAGTATGCTGGCTTGCCAGTCTTGATTGCTGTTGATTCTACTGTTCCCAAAGTCTCCTGCCAAGCTCTTGACCCAAGTCACAGTCCCTGGTGATGTCATAATGCTGCTAAGAATTTGCTCATTCACTGTACATGCAGGGATGCCCCAAGAGTTACATACCTTCCCAATTAGTCACACACTGGTTGCAGAATAACACCTTGAGAAAGCAGGGCTTCTCCTTCTCCTTATTGCAAAGGTATCACGTGTTTAGAGCTTTCATGAGTCTATAGCTATAGTAGGATAATTATCAATAATTACTTTTGTGAAGATTATTTTAAGGTGACTTTCTCAAAAGTTAACAGTATTAATTTGTTGTTTACCAAAAAAAACTTCATAATAGTATTCATAATCAAAATTTATTGCAATTAAGCACACACTTAGAAATTATAATGCCTCGTATTTGAAATCATCACTCTGGTTTCTATGCCAGACATTTGGAGGAAAAGAAGAATTGGTTATAGATCTGGATATTTAAATGACATGATACCAAACATATTTGGTTAAATATGACCAATTTTAAGTTCTTCACTTTTCACCCAAATATTACATATTTATATAGAAAAACTTGCATCTTGCCTTATTTTCACTTTAATTCCTTGAAACTGTTCACAACATAATGTCTCAGAGATCCTATAAGTTAGACCAAATATAAAAAAACAAAAATAAGAAAAAACAATGTCTTTTAAATTAAACTACATTTTTGTTTTTTGTTTTGTTTTGTTTTGTTTTGGAGAGGTTTTTGCTATAGGGCGCATGCACTCGCCAGAAAGACAGAGACAGAGAGATAGAAAGTGAGAAATCACCCCACCGGGGGATGGCCACGCCGCAATCCCTTCTCCTCCATTCTTCTTTGGGATCTTGGGCACGCACGCACACGTGCCCGGCATGAGTTTAAGCCACTGGGTCTCGAACCACGGTCGACTATGTGGGAGTCCAGCGACATAGCCATTACGCTAACTGCTGGTCCCAAATTATACTAGTTTTAAGATTAGTTCAAAACATATAGCTCATGTATTTGTGCTCCCCCCCCCAAATGAACACTACTATGGCAATGGTGTTTTACCAAGGCATGAACAGTGGCTCAAATATAAGTAACTAAAAACAACAACTTAATTTCTCATGGACTCTGATAGACTTGGAGCTTACACTCTGTCTTTTGATATAAATCAGCAGTTTTCCTCTGACTTGTGCAACCTTTGGGAGGAAACATAATCAGCAACTAAAATCTTTTTTTGAGAGGTTTTTGCTTTAGGGAGTGTGTGCTCCTCAAAGAGATAGAGAGACAGAAAGTGAGAAATCACCTCCGGGGCAATGACCATGCCACAATCCCTTCTCCTCCACTCACCTCTTACTCACCTCTTGGGATTTGGGGCACACAAACACACACATACACACACACACACCCTGGTACAAGTTTTAAGCCACTGGGTTTAGGACTCAAACTCCAATCAACCACGTGGGAGTTCAGCGTCACAACCACCACACCACTGGATGGCCCACCAACTAAAATATTTAACCAAAGGTTTAGAGACTATTTAGCTCTTGAAATGATTGTGTTTGTAATTATACCCACATTTTTGAGATTCAGTTTTAAAATGAACAGGAATTAGCTTAACACCATTTCCTTAAACTGTTTTTCAAACTTGAACAACATAAAACATTTTGCAAACCAAAAAAGTTCTCAGAGTTCCCCCAGTGTTGGGATCAGCAGTTAGCATAATGGCTATGTTGCTGGACTCCCATGTAGTTGACTGTGGTTCCAGTCCCAGACCCAGTGACTTAAACTCATGCTGGGCGCGTGTGCGTGCGTGCCCAAGATCCCGAGAGGAGATTGGAGGAGAAGGGATTGCGGTGTGGCCATCCCCCCTGGGGGGTGATTTCTCACTTTCTGTCTCTCTGTCTCTCTCTGTCTTTCTGGTGAGTACACATGCCCTATTGCATAAACCTCTCCAAAATAAAGAGCTCCCCCAATGTTAAAATTCTTACACTACAGTGTGAAGCAAGTCAGTTTTTTTTTATGTAATTAAACTTAAATAAATACAAAATAAAAACAAATTCATAAAATTCATAGTATTCAAGTTGGTAGAATTCATTTAATGTGACTTTTATTGTTGTTTATTGTTACCAAACTGCCATGTATTATGATATGAAAATCTATGTCATAAACTAGACTATAAGCTACATGAGAATAGAGATTATATCTGGTTTTTGATTACTGTGAGATCTTAGGAACTATTTGATGAGAAAACAAGTTAATGGTCTTTATTAATATGGATAACTATTTAAAATATTAAGCAGTCCAAAGATGTCCAATGCCTTCTACTGAAAATTGCAGAATATTATTGTGAGGATTTAGGAGAGGCTACATAAATGGAAGTATATACCAGCCTTATGGATGAGAAGACTGAAATATGAAGATTTTTATTTGCTAACAAATTAATCCATGTAATTTCACTTGAAATCCCATTTTTTGGAAATCCACAAGCTGATTTTAAAAATCATATGAAAAAAAAATTCATATGGAAATGCAAAAGCCTCCAAATAGACAAAGCTTTAAGAAGATTAAATTTGGGGCCAGCAGGTAGAATGCTTGTTAAGGTACTGGACTTCCATGTGATTGGCCACAGGTCAATTCCCAGACCTGGTAACTTGAAACTCATATCGGGTGCATGTGTGTGCATGCCCAGTATCCCAGAAGAAGAATGAAGGAGAAGGAGTGGTGGCATGGCTATACTCCCTGGAAGGGAGGGAGTTCTCAATTTCCTTCTCACTGTCTCTGTCTCTGTGGTGAATAGTCACCCTAAGACAAAAAAAAAAAATTTAAATTCAATTTTAGATTTTTTTAAATGGCAGAGGCTACACATGTACATATGAGAGAAAAAGAGAGAGAAAGCACCCCCTGATGGGTCTGATCATGCTGCGACCCCTTTTCTTCCAATTCTCTATCTCATCAGGATCCTGGGAATGTACATGCATGCTCAGCATGTTTTCAATCCACCACCAGGGATGAGACTTGAATCCTGGCTATTCATGTGGGAGCCTGGTTCCTCTGTGTTGGGCCTAACGACTACCCTATGGGGCCAGCCTTTGAATCTAGATCAATTGCAGATATGGGTGTGTAAGATAAAACAAACAAAGCCTCTAACGTGAAAAATAAAGAAAATACCTTTGTGACCTTAGAATAGTAAAAGATAACTTAAACAGGACACCAATAGCCCTAGCTATTTTTTTAAAAAGAGTGATCTATAGATCTATAGTAAAATAAAAGCAACATAACAAAAACATGACTTCTGTTCCTAGAATTAATAATACACAGATATACCCTCTCGTATGAAATAAAAACAAAGAAGACAAAATGCATGATACATTTTCAAGCCACTAGAAACATCAGGGAACAAAGGACAGTGATCCCTGAAAAATAGGTAACAAATAAGCCTTGCTATTGTCCGAGGCTATTGTCTGGAGAAACTCAGATGAATATTATCTATTGAAGATATTTTGTAAGTTTATCAACTGTACTAGGGAGAAATGTTCACTTGTTGAAATATCCATTTTGTAAGACAAATAATAATGTGATTGAATGTATGGAAGAAAATGAAATGAAAAAATAAAATAAAATAATAATAATAATAATAAATGGAAATCCAGAGCAATCACAGAGGCTGGAGTTCACAGGACAGAGGAGAGAGCTGCACAGAGAAATAATTCCGGAGGTAAGTATTTAACTGGGTACCAAATGATATATGTATATGAGGAAATCCCCTGAGACCACAGAGAGAAAGACAAGAAAAGATTAGAGAGCATGGTGACCAATGCATCCAGAGTCAGAATAATACCTGTTTGCACTAACTAGACCAGTAAACCTGATGAGTCACAGGACATGGGAAATAACTTTAAAGAGAGTTTCTTTGGTAAAGGGGGGGTGGGGGGAATAGCTATGGCCTAAATGCTCCTCTGAATTTCACCTAACAACTTTTTGTTTTTTAAAAATTATTTTATTTATTTCTTCCATGAAAAAAAAAAAAAAACCATAAAAGGAGAGTCAGAGAAACCATCACGCTCAACAGAGTCCTCATGCTGCAGTCAATCCCTAGTTCCAGCCAGCCACAATGGCACATTCGTTCACATGCCCAGCACGCAGAAGGAGGCCCTGGAACATGACCCCAGGACCTTCCCACATGGGTCCAGTTGTGTTACCACTACACCACCATCTGGCCCCTCCCCCTAACAATTCTTAAATGCAAATCCCAAAAGACCAGTTTTCAAGTATTTAACTGCATTCCAGTACAATGTCTGAAAAAATATTTACTGTACTATAATAATATCCAGAAAAATAAGAAGATAAAATCACAATGTCTGGCATCCAATTAAAGATTACAAAGTATGCGAATAAGCACAAAAATATCTCCCATGATGAGAACAAAAATCAGACAATTCAGCCCCGCTGTGATAGCCCATGTTGAAGACATTTTTTCTTATTTAAATAGATCACTTAAATATCTTATTAAATATAATAATCACAGTATATTGTGGGATGTATGCATATAAATTTAATATATAATAAAAGTAGCATTAAAGTCAGGAGGGGAGAAATAAAAATGTTCTATTGAATAGTCATGTGAAATGATACCATATCCAGCGACATAGCCATTACGCTAACTGCTGGTCCCAAATTATACTAGTTTTAAGATTAGTTCAAAACATATAGCTCATGTATTTGTGCTCCCTCCCCCCCAAATGAACACTACTATGGCAATGGTGTTTTACCAAGGCATGAACAGTGGCTCAAATATAAGTAACTAAAAACAACAACTTAATTTCTCATGGACTCTGATAGACTTGGAGCTTACACTCTGTCTTTTGATATAAATCAGCAGTTTTCCTCTGACTTGTGCAACCTTTGGGAGGAAACATAATCAGCAACTAAAATCTTTTTTTGAGAGGTTTTTGCTTTAGGGAGTGTGTGCTCCTCAAAGAGATAGAGAGACAGAAAGTGAGAAATCACCTCCGGGGCAATGACCATGCCACAATCCCTTCTCCTCCACTCACCTCTTACTCACCTCTTGGGATTTGGGGCACACAAACACACACATACACACACACACACCCTGGTACAAGTTTTAAGCCACTGGGTTTAGGACTCAAACTCCAATCAACCACGTGGGAGTTCAGCGTCACAACCACCACACCACTGGA